ATTTGCTGACACGTACGAACAACAATTTAAGTCAACCTCTGGCCCTGTCATACCAGAAGTCACCAACTTCATCCACTCACTTCGTCCATCCCCACAAACTGTTTGTTACACATCACCTGGCATCGTTCAACAAACAATCAACCGAATCCCCAAACGCAAAGCTCCTGGCGCTGACTCCGTCACTAACACAGCCATCAAGCTCCTACCCAAGAAATCAGTTTTACTCCTCACCCACATCTTTAACGGATGCCTAAGAATTGGCCACTTCCCAACCTCCTGGAAACATGCCATCGTCATCACTATCCCCAAATCAGGAAAGGATCACCGTCATCCAGTCAACTACCGCCCCATTGCGCTACTATCCTCCCTCTCAAAAATCTTCGAACGTGTTGTTTTGGCGAAACTTAACGCTGCGATTGGTCCCAAAATAAGAAACGAACAATTCGCTTTTCGCCAGCAGCATTCCACAACCCATCAGCTTGTCAGCCTAATTGACCAATTGACAGTTAACTCAAACAGCAAATTACGCACAGCCGCCGTCTTTCTGGACGTCGAAAAAGCTTTCGACCGAGTCTGGCACCCAGGCCTATTGTTCAAGCTCCACACCTTAGGCACCCCTACCTCACTGCTAAATATAATAAACTCATTCCTTACCGACCGCACCTTCTCAGTAAGACTAAATAACACTATTTCTAGCAGCAGACCGGTCCTTTCTGGTGTACCGCAGGGCTCTTGTCTCTCGCCGACACTCTATTTGGCCTACACTAACGATGTCCCCCTCAACCAAAACGCCCGGCTTTATCTATTCGCCGACGACACTATGTTCACCACCTCGAACAAAAACCCAAAAAGAGCAGCCATACAGCTGCAAAAACAATTAAACATAACACTAGACTGGTGCGAAAAATGGCGTCTCAACATAAACGCTCAAAAAACGGTTGCAGTAATGTTCAATGGTCCCAACAATTTTGCTTCACACCACCTGAACCTTAACGGTCACCGAATCCCCTGGTCTCCTACATCAAACTACCTCGGCGTAACCCTTGATCGAAATCTTACATTCTCAGCACATATCAAGTCATCTATCAAGAAAGCCACCGCCGTCCGCGGCATGCTGTACCCGATTCTGAACCGTTCCAGCCCCATTCCCATCCAAACCAAACTCAACATACTACAACTGTATATCAAACCCATCCTATCATACGCCGGTCCGGCGTGGGGACCACTAATATCCAAAGCAAATTGGCGCAAACTCGAAGCCGTCCAAAACATCGGCCTCCGTACTATAACCTCCTCCCCATGGTTTGTGACAAATAAAATAATTATTTCTTCAACTCGTACCTCCACCGTCAAGCAATCGATAATAACCAACAGCAAGAACCTTTTTTACCGCAACTCAAATTCCACTTTCAACCACATCCGCAGCCTTGGTCTATCCGTCTTGGTTTCTGACCCAACCTCTAAATCTATAAAACAACGCCCCTTCTCATGGACTAACTCAAATTAGAAAAATCATACACCATATCTCACTCAACTCTTCATAGGCAAACGCCTGGAACGAGTGTATAGGCACATCGCCGTCACACAAGCAATGCAATGCAATAGAGACATATGGTATTAAAATAACATAGCCAATCACGGCTCTAAAAGCTGGTTTCTCGCTTGACCAATTCGCACATATCACAAGCTTCTGCAGACAACTCTACATCAGTCCTGAAGATTTCCCAAAACTACCAGGATCGATCGTTATTTCCCTCGACAACACCTCATACCGTATATTCATTACCGATGACATCGTAACTTGTTTTTTATGCAAAAAACCCGGCCACGTATCATCCTCATGCAAGATATGGACACCTCAAACGAACAAACTTCCACTAATATCTCATCCCACCATATCGTCGAAAAAACCAATAGAATAAACGCGTCTTCTGAACTACCTCTAGAAATCACTAGCGAAATATCCAATAAAAATAATGCACAAATCACCCATTATGATAACTATGATGATGTATCGGACACACAGTCACACCAAGCTACTTTTAAAAGACCAGCTCCTGTATCCACATGCCCGTCAGCGCCACCCTCCCCCACTCTGACCAACGACAAAATTTAGTTTGATAAGGATACACTTGATGTCAAAAACACTAATCCTAAAAAACAAACCACAAAAAAAATTAAAGTCAGATCAAGATCAAACTCCTCAACAAGAACATCTGAAATATTAGATAACCTCCTCGAGCCAGCAACGGCTATCCTGCAGAATAAAGACTCCTCCCTTAATCTAATCACTTTCAAATATATTCTAGAAAACTTCACGAACAAAAATTTAAATATACACGAACTATGCATTAGTGTTGGATCCAATGCCACTGAAGTCCTTGATATGGCCGAAAAAGTATTACCACTAATGGTGGAAAAAAAATTAAAAACAAAATATCTAAACTAACTCACATTCTATTCCAATCTATACCTCCCCCGAAAAGTCAACTCCGCAGACTTCCAACCTGAATCAATCAAACCAATAAAACACTACTCAAAATCTATCCCCACTTCCTTATCATAATGACCAATATCATACAATGGAATCTAGATGGCTTCTAAAAACGAAGCACCGATTTACAACGAATCCTTTCCAACTTACAACCCAGCGTACTATGTCTCCAAGAAACCAATCTCAAAATGGGACAAACTGCACATGTTAAAGAATATACCAGCTATTGCAGGAACCGCGTAAACCCTATCAGAGCAAGTGGCGGCGTTGCCATACTCGTTAAAAATAACATTGAAAACAGCCAAGTCAATCTCCAAACACATCTCGAAGCCCTACCAGACACAACGCAGCTAACGAAAAACTATCAGCAATCGACCTATCTATAACAAGCTCAAACATTGCCCCAAGTATCGATTGGAAGACCCTCCCAATCTATAATGGAAGCGACCACTGTCCAATACAGTTACAACTTTTTCACCAATCTTCTAAAACAGATCTTATAAATAAATGGAAACTCAAATCACCAAATTGGGAACTATTCTCCTGCCTTGTTGACCAGTACATCACAGAAAACCAATTAGAAGTTCCCATTGAACATATACTACCCATAAACCAAACCCACGTTGATGAACTGATCAACAAATTATCAAGGCTAATAATAAAGGCAGCTAATATAGAAATTAGAAAATCTAGTCACCCTGTTAACAAAAGAACAGTACCATGGTGGAACGAAGATTGTAAAAACGCAATCACAAAATATAAAAAGCTCTCAACCGCTTCAAAAAAACCCACTTACAAACAGATCATATACTACTCAAAAATACAAAGCTGAATCCAGATACATCACAAAAAAAAGTAAACTAGAATGCTGGCAGAAATATACATTTACAATCAATATCAGAACCCACCCATCAGCAGTCTGGAACAAAATTCGTGCACTCAAAGGATGTAAACACCAACCTCTTCCTAACCATATGCACCACAACCAAACTGAACTACATTCAACCTCCGAAATTGCCCATGCCTTTGCTGAGACATTCCAATCAAACAATAGCAATGCAAATTTATTATGAGGAGAACTTCTTAATTTTCAAAAATGAAACTGAAAATAATATCATAATTAACCCCTATCCTCAACCTGACAACGCGGAATATAATCACCCATTCAATATAAAAGAACTCTACCTCGCACTTCACAACTGTAACAGCAAAAGTCCTGGACCCGACGATATCCCTTTCATCTTCTTGAAAAACTTATCGGATAATGCTACCAACACTCTCCTCGCAATTTACAACTTAATCTGGAACAATGGAATTTTTCCCAATCAATGGAGACAGGCACTCGTAATCCCTATACTAAAACCAGACAAAGATAAATTTAATATCCTTACCTACCGTCCAATTTCGCTTATCAGCACCCTAAGCAAATTACTTGAAAAAATGATAAACATACGCTTAGTGTGGTTTCTCGAAACGAACAAAAAATTCACAAAACAACAATGCGGCTTCCGCAAAAATCATTTAACCCACGATGTCTTAGCTACACTCCACACAGATATAACTGAATCAATAATTAAAAAACAACACCTTATCCTAATTGTTTTCAATATAGAAAAGGCCTATGACACGGTATGGAAAAAAAAAAGTACTATCCTCCATCCAAAAATGGAATATCACAGGAAATATGCTAGCCTTTATTCACAATTTCCTTCTAGATCGAAAAATCCAGGTAAAACTAGGCAATGCACTTTCCGAACATCTAGACATTGAGAACGGACTACCGCAAGGATCATCAATAAGCAACTCCTCCATTTCAAAAAGGATAGCACCTCTCACACAACTATTATAGCAAACTTTAATGACATTTTACACACCGAATTTCAAGATTTTAATCATATCTATACCGATGCCTCCAAAACCTCTGTCGGAGTAGGATTCGCTTACTCTACAAGCCACTCCTCAAAACGATTTAAGCTCCTCCCTGAAGCCAGCATATTCACAGCGGAAACCCAAGCTATCAAAGAAGCCATAATGTTCGGAAAGTCAACATTATCAAATAAAATCTTAATAATCAGCGACTCCCTAAGCGCCCTTCTAGCAATCGAAGCACCGAACCCCTCTAATGCAGTGTTTCCCAACCTTTTTACCACCACGGACCACTTTGACAATATTTTATAGGTTGCGGACCACCTCAAACTAGGAAGACCTTTTTTTTTTTTTTTTTGCTCATTAACAAGAATACACAAAAATTTATTGGAAAATTTTTATTATCTTACTGTACTATTATATATAATTATTAAACTTTACTAATAATTTACTTAGTGTGATTTTTGTATACGATAAGATAACTGTATATTAAAGTAAAATAAAATATTTTTCGCTGTTTAAAAAAAAAAATAATTTTTAATAGAAAACTAAGAAAGGTACCGCGGACCACCTATGACTGGCCCACGGACCACCGGTGGTCCGCGGACCACTGGTTGGGAAACACTGCTCTAATGAGATAATGTGTCAAATACATAATATCATCACATCGACCCATAAAGCAATCGAATTCATGTGGGTTCCCTCACATACGGGCATTCCTGGAAATGAAAAAGTAGATATACTAGCAAACGAGGCAATCACCTCGTCCTCATCCTCAACCATTACCACCCTCCCATACCAAGACGTCAAAAGATGTATAAATATACATACTTCCAATATGTGGCAAACATCCTGGGATGAAATACCAATCATCAATAAACTTAAATCGATTAAAAAGAAAATCACTAAATGGTACACTCAGCCCAATGCCTCCAGACGATCAGAAACCATCAATATCAGAACAAGAATCGGCCATACCAATCTCACCCACATTCACATCATAAAACATGATGAACAACCTCTCTGTAGCCAATGTAACGAACCGCTCTCAATCAAACATGTAGTCTTAGACTGCCCGCTATTTGTCAACGCTAGAGACATCCCCAACCATCCATCAACGATGGAGGAAGCTCTAGGAGAACACAACACGAACTTGATACATACCTTCTTCAAATCCATCGGCATTGACACAAAAATTTAATGTAAAGATAGAACTACACTGCTAAAAATATAATGTAAATATACAATATCACTGTAAAATCCATATATACCACAATTGTAACGTAAAATTAATTTAGAATTTAGTTATTTATTTGTATATTCACTAATTAAGGATAATGTAACCACAACCACAGGCCAATGACCTAGCTGTTGAAGCCTTTAATATCAATAAAAAAAAAAATAATAAAATAATAATAATAGTAAAAAACAAAGGGAAAATACAACATCACGATCCACGGAACGGCGCACAAAAATAAATATCTATCCAAGACTAGTCGCCAACAACACGGCGGTAATTAATTAATTAACAAATTAGCTGGCATTATGTTGATACTCCTATCGTAGTGGTGCAACGTTTTGTTTTTTATTAATTATAAATGCCCGAGCGTGAACCTGTGTAATATTGTGTGGAAAAGAATCCAATAGGTATATATCCGGGGACCTACATGAGAGGTTCGCACAACGCGTTTACAATGTTAACAAATGCAGATAGTAATCGATTGGGAATCGTGAGAAAAAAAAATAGTCAGATAAAGTGCCAGTTAAATGTTATTGATGCCCAGGCATTTCGTATACATTACTGCGATTAACGAATAAAGGGTATCGATGACAAATGTCTCAACGGTAAATGAAATTAAGAACTGTGTAGGTAGTGGTGAACACAAAATATTATATAATTTATATTAATTATTGTATGCCTTTAGAATATTATAATTAAATAAAAACTTACCTAAAATAAGCAGCGATACTGCATAATTCCTATGTGCACACAATGTTCATAATGACGTATGTATATAATCTGATATTATAATACTATTGTGTGGGTAATTAAGTCGTCAGACATTAAAAACAGGTATTTTTTCTCTCGATATTAAATATGAACAACACGTTGAAATGTTGAATATTTTGTAAAACGTTATGACTTATAAACCATTTGAAATTAAAATAAATGTTGGTTTCTCATAATAGCCCAATTACAGTTATTAAATTTACTTCACCAATTAGGTACTTCTATAGTGTATACTTTATTACTACTACGTATTTAAAATTTTTAGATTTTCAAAGTGTTAAAAAATATGATGCATCTTATACACCTAATAATATGTGCATTATTTTACTCAGCATTTTTAGGGAACTTTCTTCGGTTTTTGCGGCATTTCAATTGATTTCATTACCGTCTCTATTCATAACAACTATGAAACATTAACTAGGTATTGTGGCAGGTGCTCTATCTAAATCTACTATTATAGTTAGTGGTTGTTCCTAATAATTAATAATATTAATAAATGTGCAATTAGTTGTTATAAAATTATTTATTTCATAAAATTTGTTTTAGATTCTGAGTGAAACGATGAATTTTACAATGATGTGTGTTTTTTTTGAATTTTTGAATTTTTTTATTTTTGTGTCTGTCATCATGGTTTAGGGCAGTAAAACCACTTCGATTTTCTTCAACAGTATCTTGTTCGATGGGAAAGTGAATCTAGTTGGTGCATTCGGGAGGTCAAATTTTGAATTTCCTAATAGTTAAAAAAGCTTGAAAATTTAATAGAAGGATCCTAGTATATTGTTTCAAAGGCAGATGAAAAATATTAAAAATCCTTGGTCACAGTTTTTTTTGTAGGCATTTAAAGTTCAAAAATTTACAAAATATGGAAAAATCACGAAAATTAACAAATTATTTTGAGTTAAGAATTCGTAAAAATTTTTCTTTTTAAATCTAAGATTTTAAAATGTAATACAAGAATCCTTATAAGATTATCTACCTTTATCAAAAAAAAATGTCTAAGTATCTAATGGATATTGTGATATGATTAATTTGGAATTTAATATAGGACAATTTTTTTTTTTAATACCTACCATAGATAAAGTATATAAATGTCTTATACCTAGACTGACATACCGTCTCCGCTCAGAATCGTTTTTCTTATACAATGGTCAATGATATTATATCGTTGAATTCAAATTTAATACCACCCATTATACAGTAACCCACTTGTAACCTACTGTATAGCAGAGCACCTTTTTTAAATATGACCTTAGACAATTTTCAAAAAATACTATCTTGGGAAGGTACTTTTTATATAAAAAAAATTATTACACTAAACTTTCGGTGGTCGTCAAAACCGCATATTTTACACCGTTCAATACCTCACACGTTTATTCTATTGTTGAAAAGGGAAATTTGAAAGGTCGATAGATCAAAACCGCACACATTTGATTGACAGTTAAAAATTAAACATATTTTATAGTTAAAGAAATGATTTTTTACTAATTAAAAATAATTCAATACACAATTAAATTGAAATAGGATCAAAGCCGACTACCTTTTTTTAAATTGTTTATGGTCATTTTTTGATATTTTTCATCGAATCCCAGCCCTACTTATAAGGAATCGGCATAAATTCACTTTAGCTACTCAGCACATTTTTCGATTTTTTTTTCCTAATTTAACATAAAATTCATGCCTAAGTTGACTATGGTAACTTTCTGCTCCTTTCATCACAAGGTTTTATTTTTATGATTTTTTTTGATCTTGATTAAATATGATTAACTAGTGTGCGGTACTAAACAATAATGTTATTTTAGATAAATGTATACGTTATTAAAATATGTATAGCAATGTTTGCGGTATTGAATGGGGCGAATCGGTTTTCGCCCAAAATCGACCTTTTGGTTTTTGCCCAAATTACCTTTTTTACCCAAACACAAAAAAGAGTTATTTGGTTTTCGCCCAAAGAAATATTATTTATAGTAAACGAAAAAACATTTTGGTTAACAATGTATTTTTTTTTTTTATTGAAAATGTGTCTAAATTAATATACGTATACCTACATAATATTTAATAAACATAAGTTTATAGGTGTAAAACATCTTAAAAAATAGCATAATAATAAAAATAATATTTTAAAGATTTTAAATGATATGCACATATACGTGTAAAACATATGAAAAAAAATATTATAATATTAAAAATTCAATTATTCGTCGAAGTTATGGCACATAGATTTTATAAATTCGTATCGTGTGAGCCGACCAGATTCGTATTTCATAATTTTTGATAAATAGTGTACATTTTTTGAAAATTTCGAAAGAACACAAGCGACAAGAAATTAACCAATCAAAAATTACGAAATACAAATCTGGTCGGCTCACATGATACGAATTTATAAAATCTATGTACCATAACTTTGACGAATAATTGGATTTTTAATATGATAGTATTTTTTTTAAGATGTCTTACACTTATATATATATATCATTTAAAATCTGTTTTCTGTGTTTTTACATATATTATTTACATTGACTATTTTTTTGTTTTTTTTATTATAGTATGTTTTACACTAATCTATATCTGCCATAACTTCGACGAATAATTGAATTTTTAATATTACACTATTTTTTTCATATGTTTTACACTTATACATATCATTTAAAATCTTTAAAATTTTATTTTTATTATTATGTTATTTTTTAAGATGTTTTACACCTATAAACTTATTTTAGTTATAATTGTCTAATGATTAGTAAATATCAAATAATAAATATCATGATGAAATAATAATCTTCCATGTTCGATATAAAATCAAATTCTCTAAAAAAGTTTAAATAAGTTCAAAGTATTTGATAAAAATGTTGAAAACATATTATTTAATATTAATGGGTATTAATATAGTATTGAAAAATAATATGACACGAGAGAACTCAGATAATGTCCTTACCTTAAAGTTTGATAATAGGTCAATTATACTCTAATATCAAAACTAACAGCACACTATTGAAACTGGTGAACGAAAATTTGATATGTCGTACATGTGTAAGATAGAGGCAACATTTTTGGGTACGGCGTCCTCTTCAGATATAAATATAGAATGGTTGCAAGTCGAACGATGTTTTTTTGTGGGAGGAGAAAGTGCTTATGACAATTTACTAGCTCGACCTAGTGGTCATATAACTACTATGAGAGAAAGACATCATAAAATACAATTACTGTTTTTAGCACGGTTTAATAAATTATGAGAAGTCGAAGATAGATGGCACTAACTGTCAGTAAATTCTTAGAAGTACATTGCACAGTCACATTATTATGTTATTGTAGTTTCATTAATATTTGTAGGAAGATGAAATTATACCTATTTATTATAATTATTTTTTTTCAACCATCGAAAGTTTTTCAGAAATATTTAAATGTTAAGATTTCTTTTGTTTTTTGAGTAAATGAAAATTACTCAATTTTACCCAAATGCTTATGATGTGTACATAAAATTAATAAATTTTCCAGGATTTTGAATATGTTTAGTGTTTGAAAATTTCATGAAATTTAAAAAAATGAAATATTTCGTGAAATATTTCATGAAATATTTCAAAATATGTGAAATATTTCAGTATTTTAATATATTTTGTTTTATTTTTAAATAAGCTTTATATTTACATATAATTGTCATAAATTACCTTCATCACTATATGGTACCTGTATGTATACCTAACCTTTGGTATTATACATTTAAATTGGTATTCAAAATTTTTAAATATTTTAATGTTTAAATGATACAAGTAGGTATACAATATTATACATGTATATTGTATACTTACTGAATTCTGACATTAGAATTTAGAACACTGAACATTGTGTTAAAAAAATAAATAAATTGTGTTTTTATTTGTGTTAAAAAAAATTTCAATGTTTCACGTTTTTGTGAAATATTTCACAACTTAGTGAAATATTTCAAAATGAAATATTTCATGAAATATTTCTCATACTTCAAACACTAAATATGTTATACTCCCAGAGGGAGTTTTTGCGTACAGAAATTATTTCTGTAAGGTTTATCACAACATTATATGAATTTAGTTATTCCTTATTATTTATCACCAATAGACAATAATTATTATTTATTTATTTAAAAATATTAATGTATACATTTATGTATAACCATATACTTGGACAAGGTTTAATTGTATATTTAGATAATAATATAT